GGTGTTTACAGAATATAGCTTTATCTTTGTTACATTGTAAAAAAAAATCCTTAATACTTCTTTTTCGAAGGGAACTATACTTCTTTCAAAGTTTGTTAAATAGTTTAACAGTATTAAAGCATTTCTGAATTTAGTCAAATATTATATATAATTGCTCATTGTGATTGGTATTAAATTGTGAATATAATCTTCTAGGTTATTTTCTGGATTTAAGTTTTGTGTATTATTATTCATCATATTCAAAAATCTTTGTCTTGTTATTGGTATTATATTTGTATTGGTTGCATGTTTGTTTTATTTTTCTTACATATTAAACCAGTTTTGTATTTCATAGTTACGTTGCGTAACTAGTTTGCATTGTTTATTAGCTGAATTATTTGTCTGTTGATTATTTTTAGGGTTATGTGTTTTTTGGAAGCACAAGAGAGTTTTCATGAGAAGAATTAGAGGATGTATCTAGTAAAATGTAGTTTGTATTTTCTAAAATAATAGTCTCTTCTATCAAGTTGATAGTGTTGATATATAGTTTTTGATCTTCCTAGTTAAGTGTTATATTATCCATACTATTTGTTACTTGCTTTATTCTTTTTTTGTTATAGGTGGAAAGGAATAGTGTCAAAAGTTTGAACCACGGCTATAAATTTTCTTGTATTGTAAGAGATATTAATATTGTTAAAGGTAACTAGCACTACATATTCAAGGTTATTGATAATGTTTTCTGTGAAGGTAGTTTGTTTTTTTTGTTTAGAAGTTGTGAAAAGAAAAAAAGTAGGGAACTCTAGAACTCTTGGAAGTGTAATAGTTTTTCTGAAAATGTCATGTTTCATAACTTTGTTTGTTTTTTGATCTTTTAAAAAGAGGACTACTAAGGTTTTTGATATTAAAGTATTTCCTTCAGAAGGTTGAACTCCTAAAAAAATTTTTTCGTCTCTTGCGTCCATAAGATTTTTTTGATGTTTTATTGATAAATAATAAACTTTCATATGTAGAAACGTTTTATAATTATTTTCGAATTTTAAAAAAAAATCAATGTCGATCATTTTATCTTTAAAAAATCTAAAAAAAATCCGAAAATAATTATCGAATGTTACTACATATAAAAGTTTATTTTTTACTAATAAAACATCAAGTGTGTTGATAATTAATATTATAGTCAAGAATAAGTAGCATCTTTTGTGAAGTTTTTAAAATTTATTCTTGCGAATTGAATTTAATATCAACGGTTAAACTTCGGACGTTCAAAAATTATTCTCTAGAATTCAATTATTAATTATTCGCTCAATTTGAATTAAATTTGTCTGAATACTTCACATAATTTGCTTTATATTCTCAACTTTAATGTTACTTAGTATCAGTTTTATTAGTACTTTAGTAAAAAAAAACTTTCATATGTAAAAACGATAGACAATTATTTTTAGATTTTTTTTTTTATTTTTTAAAATTTTTAATAAATTTCAACCATTTTTATTCACGTCTAATTAAAGTCAAAATTATCACTAGATACTATGAAAAAATTCTTTTAATTAAAATTGTAGACATTGTTCTTGGCTACAATTGCATATAAGATAGTTGGCATCTATCTTTAAAATTCATCAAGTCCAGTATAGATAACATTCAAAGATTAAATTTTTTATTTTTTGTCAATTTTATTTAAAGTGTAATTTCTCTATTTATAGATATTTAATTTTAACACAAAATATATCATATGATAGTTCTAATTTAGGGGAATCTAATAAAAAAAAAGTTTGTGTAGTTTAAATCACCTGTTGTGTTACAATTAGCAATTTAACTTTAATGATTTTTTTATTAGGTTTTATTTACCCCATGACTTTTGATACCCCACTGTACCTTCTAAAACAACTAAACAACAGTCTTACCTATAAACTTCTTAAAAGAACTGTTAAGTCACTTTACTACTTTGTTCTCAAGAGAACTAGGAACTACTGGTGATAGCAATAATGTGATTACATTTTGTATATATAATTCTGACTGATCATATCAAATCACCAGACAGTGGTGTTCAATACCACTGGTGTGATATGAAGTTTTTGATAAAATAATATTGTATACCTACTGTAAAAATTTCAAATATATATCTTAAAAATTGGTAAAATACTTATCAGTTATTTTTTAAAGTTTAGATATTAATTATTTCTTCAATTCTTATAATATAGGTCTAAAATTTTTACAATAAATGCACAATATTATCTACTTTAAGATTACTTAGTATGTTATTAATATTTCATTAGTATAAAATAAAATTTTATATTAATAACAATTAGTAAATATTTTTTTAATTTCTAATCATATTTAAAAAATTTTGATTGATTTTAGTTGTGTCTAAGTAAAGTTCTATATGGTATTAATAAAAATTGTAGCTCTAGTTTTAGGTTACAAGTTTATATAAGAAAGTTGATATTTTCAATGGATACTTATTGAAATCGATCTAATATTTTTGGTTAGTTTTATTTAAAACAAAATTTCTGCACAAACAGATATTCAATTTTAATAATAAACTATTATATATAACCCCTTATCAGAGGATTCTTTTAAAAAAAGTTTATGCAATTTAAATTATTCCTTGTGTATAATTCATGCTTGAAATTTATAAATAAATTTGATAAAAAACAGTTTACTTAGAGGCTGAAACTTGGTTAATTTAATAAAATATTGAGTTTTTTAGAGATTTTTAGACTTTCTTTTTTAGTTAATAAACTTTTTAAATCATATTCGTCACCCGCAAAAACAACACGTGAAATATTTCTGATCACCCACCAAAGCAAAAGTATAGTTATATTTTTAACATGATTTGTTATTCTATAAATTACGTAATAATGCATATTTAGTTACATCACGTTACTTAAAAATGATACAAATGATACCTTAATTTATCCCACGTGAAATATCCATGTGACAAGAATCACTCAAACATGCCTTTTAACTCAAAATATATAATTAATGTTAAATAAAGGGCAAAATAAATGAATTAACAAAATTAGAAATACTGCTTCCTAACAAGCACACGATTTCTTATTCAGATATCATAGATTCAGGATTTTGAGATATTATCTTAAAATAGAAACATTGTTTCTTTTATTCTCTGCTGTTTTTTCTTCGTCATATTTGATCAAAAATGATTTGAAAAATTAATGGAGTTTATTAAAATGGGTATGATATTTATAGATTTTCATATGGCATCACGCATTTATGAGAAAAAAAAAGATATTTTATAACGTAATCATCCATCAGTATTAAGAATACTTGATTTTAAAAATCTTAACCAAAAAAATTCTAATGAATAATTTAGATAAATTAGATAATTTAAATAGCAATCTTTGTTTTTCTGTAATTTTAAATTATTATTTTTTCGGAGCCGACCTTACTTCGTGGTATAAGTGGTATAACGTAGTATGCCTCGTATGTATTCTTATTATTAAATTCGTGTTGTCAATTATGTTCACGCAAGAGATAAGTATAGCATTAGAAGGGATTAGATCAATATAATATAAAATAAAATCCAAATTGTAAATCGTGCATAATTCGATTCTTAGATTCTTTTATCCTAGAATTTAAATTCATTATTACAAATTTATACCTATTAGCAGTATGGTTTTGGTACAATTGTTGTTCAAAGATAAATGATAAAGATTGAAACAAAGAAGTATGGAAAGGCTTTAACTACAAGAATAAATAATCTTTTGTTCAAGGTGAAAAACTTTACGTTTCATCGTTTCATTGAGAAATAAAATTATTATTTACTGCTACGCATTCAATAACTATTTTTTTATTTTTATTTTATTTTTATTTGGGAATTCAAAGAACAAATCTTTAATTATAAATTTGTAAGTAGTCACTATGACAACTTTTTTTAAAAAAAACTTTTAATTGTATCGTCATATGATTGGTAGTTTTATAATTATAAATTTTGTTTGTTTATACGTAATGTGTATTGTATTATAACACACACGAATTATATTAATTATATTATTTTAAAAAATTTTCACCACAAAAATCGCAAGATAAACGTATTTGAAAAAAATAATCATTTAATTATAATTTTGTAATTTGAAGTATAGATTACGTTAGGTCTTTATTGTAGATAACTACCAACTCTGTTTTAAAAAAAAAAAAAAAGCGAATCTGTAAAAATGGATTTGGTTAGATCAACTTTTCATCTACAGTATTTTCATTCTTCATATGTTTCTGTATGCTCAGCGTATGTTCAGTATATATCAAATTTACGCAGTTTTCATGCAATATATAAATAAAATAAATAAAAACGTATATACTGTACAAAATTTATCATCACATATATATATTCACTGTGCATCTATAAAATGATTATTTGTAACGTTAAAAATGCCATAAGTATATCTTTGTTTGGAAAGATTGTAAGAATATGGTAAAGAATAAAGAATGATAGAAGAATAATAACTGCAAGATAACGAGAACATTTCTAATAATGTATTCTCTCTCTCCTTGAATATATCTCTATAGTTGTTAAGATGTAAAAGTGCATTAATTATTATTGTTAATTATTATTATTAACTATTATTTGATTTTATTAAAATATTTTGTGTGTGTGATTTCCCAATTCTAAATATTTCTATCATTTTTTTTTTCATTGGGGTTTTAGGGAAAAAAGTGGGGAGAAAATCCGATTTTGTGGGGTTCAAATAAATGAATGTAAATAATGTAAATGAATGTGGGAATAAAAAAAAATTAAATGATCACCTATTACTACTACTAAAAAAAATTAACAATAAAATTTGTAATAATGATTTAATGATTAAATTATTCACAATACTTAATTTGTAAAAAAAAGTATAAATAACCAATTAATTTTATTAAAAAAATTCTACTTACTGTCCGTAAGAATTTATACTGCGGTAGAATTAAATAAATCTCTATAAAAAAAACTACAAACTAATTTTTTCGCACATTTTCTTTTTTTTTAAAAAAAAAAACTTAATAAAATGCCCGTCCTTTCAACGCTAATCATGGCCACTACAATGTGTTTAGTTTCCGGATCTTTGATTTTAATTGATGGTCTATTTTATATAACTGTAAATATCTATTCAGTATTTATTTTATTTTTTTTTGGTTGATTATAACTCGTTTCGTTTATTTATCATTCTTTCCTTTTTTTTTTTTAAGTTCAACAAAAAAAAGCGAACTGATGAATCAAATCTACTCTCAATTAATTCTGGATTCTTGGGGCCATTTTTTACTTCAAAATCCACAAAATCAAATAAATGCAATCAAAAATTTTCTTTATCAAATGATAATAATAACACTTGTCAGAATTGTGGTCAACAATCAGCGATAATTATTGAGAAATTAAAAGGTAATAAATTAAATATCTATATATTCTTTATTTTATTCTCTTTATTTATTCATAAATCTAATATTTTTTGTTAATATTTTAATATTCTAGCGGCGTTAGTGAAAGAAGTTAAAACGTTAGGAACACCGCCAGTAGATCATTCCGTCGAAAGTTTAGAATATGATCGAAATTTCAAACTTACATCATTCAACAAAAACTATAGTAATCATAATAATGATGATGATGATGATGATGATGATGATGATGATGACGATCTCAACATCAAAACGAAATCAATAACAGAATTACAAAAAAACACGATAAAACCAATAAAAACTTATGATGAAAAATTTTCTAATGTCTTTTATTCACATTTATCACCAAATACACATAATAATTATAATGTTAACAATTATTATTATAATCAAAATTTATATTCATCTCATTTGATACATCCAAATTTTACTCTTCATCATTCCAGTTTACATTTAATAAATTATTGTCAACATCGATTTGGATATTTTAATGATAATTATTATTCTAATAGTTATAATAATAATAATAATAATAATGATAATAATAATAATAACAATTATAATAACAATTTTAATAACAATTATGTGAATAATGGAGATATTGAAGATAATAATGATGATGGGAATATGATTAATAATAATAACAACAATAATAACAACAATAATAACAATAATAATAACAATAATAATAATGAAAAAAACAACACGAAAATTTTAAATAAAAGGATTTTATATATGAATGGGACGATGATAAGATGTGTTGTTGGAATGTTATTTATGAGAATTTTGTTGACCCTCTTGGGAATGGAATAAATGATTTTTTTTTTAATTGATGTAATATTTTTAAGAAACTATAATAACTGATAAAAAAACAATTTAATGGTTTAATAAATAAAAAATGAATAAATAAAAAATGAAACATTACATTTTGGATAACTATCATTTCATTCTCACGTTTGTAAATTAATTAATTATAAAAATGAACCAATGAAATTAATTTTGGTAACCATGCGAATATTTTATATAAACTCGGCGGCTTATTCTAAGCCATATCTAACTATTTACTATTTATTTATTTATATAAGTATATATATGATACGCTTTATGATGTTCATGTGTGTGAAAATAAAAAAATAAAGTTTAAAAATAAATGAAAGTTATGAGATAGCATTAATTTAATTAGCAAGTATAATTAAATTTATCCATACGTCGCGTGGCTTAAAAACTCTTTCCTTTTCGGACAAGGTACGGCATCCAATCATCATCGAGCACAATACAATGTGTATCATCTGAACAATGACAGATCAATTCCGAAGAAATTCCAAAGACGAGTTCAATTGTGGATGTAGATTTAAAGAATCCAAACTTTATTAAATTCTTATACTCTTTCTAAACTAATTGTCTTTTAACTTTATTCGATTCGTTATTCCCTTCTTTAATGTCTAAACTATTCATATTTTTTTTTTTTTGTTACAAAGAATTTTGGAAAAAATATAATATCCCGTGACAATTATCCGTTACGTGTGCCACGCAGTATGTATTAGCGCAGTAAATATAAACAATTGATTATCTGAATACAATCGGATTATTCAAACCAACCTATCCGAAGTCAAAAGAATGTCAAACTTACAAGGTTACATAACAGAACATTCAAGTAGCTCAAACTCCATAATAAAAATGTGGGTTTTAATTGAAGGGTCATTAAGTGCTGTAAAATTGAAAGTCAACTATTCTAAAGCCAAAGACTTGATGATTTCAAACCAATTCTCATTGATGAATTCAATGTGTTAAAAGAAGTCGAACCGCAAAATATCCTATTCTTACTATTCTTAGATAACAACAAACAACCTCTTTGACCAGGTGCTAACCTCAATTCCTCTTTGAAGGGTTAACTGATGATAATTCACTAATTATCCATTATCCTCTTTCTGATAATTATTACTATAAACAATTATTATCTAAGAAAAAAATACTCCTGTTATCCAATCCTCCAAAACCCTTGTTTTTTATTTAAAGAAATTAAAATCTTTTAACCATTTTAAAACTAAATCCTATCAAAAATTTTCACAAGAGCCATCTATAAAAATAAGAAATGGAATAAGAAACAGGATAAGTTCAACAGTTCATGTTATCTAATTTTACTACAAAAATAATTCTTTAAATAATCAAAAAGTAATATTTAGTTCCTGAAAACATCTAAAAATTAACTAAATTAATAAAATAAATGAAGTATTACCTATCTACTACACTGTAGACCTTTTTAAACTATATAATTACCTTTCTTTTTTGTTTATATTTATAAACAGTACTACACCATCCATTTTGTTCAATTTTACTACAAAAAAAGTTCTAAAAGTAATCAAAAGTAATATTTAGTACCCAAAACATCTGAAAATTAATCAAACTAATAAATAAATGAAGTATTTCCCATCTACAACTTTGTAGACTTCTTTTAGGCTATATTTTTCTTATCTAGATCTATAGAACGGTACTGCATCACCTGAGGCACTAGTTCTAAAAACAATTACAAGTAATATTTAGTACCTGAAAATTATTTAATTTAATAAAATAAATGAAGTATTATCTACTTAAAACTCTGTAGACTCTTTTAAACTATATAATTACTATTTTTTCTCATCTAAATCTATAGAATCTGACTTAAAAAAATTATTAAAATTAAAAATTAAAAGATTTACAAATACTCATTTTTATATTTTTTAAAAATTATATACCTCCTTAAAATTGATATCCATTATATAATTTTTTTTTATATTTTTTATAACTTAAATATAATTTTGAAATTTCTTCAAATAATAAAGTTTCTTCAATGACAAAACATTTTGCCAATAGTTTTAACTGTTATAAATAAGGGTTTTACCTTTTGTCAAATCTCCAAATAGATTTTGTCTAGTAACCTTAGCTATTGACAAATTGAATCAGAACTGATGTGTTAATTGATAAATGACAATAGAATAAATGACATAATTAACTCTGGAACTCATACAAAAGAACTTGAACTGTTAGATTCCAAGTTATCTGTAGGTTCTCTATTGGAAACAGATCAATTTAATCAAGAAGAAATGAGATGATTCTGAATGTATTTAAGGCAAATTCAGAAATCTCTTATTATTGAAAAAAAACTATTTCCGGGTAAAATGTTGAAACAATATTCAGAAAATGTTCTTCTTTCGGATGACAATATATTAGATCTATTAGTTAATTATTACAATGATATATATAAAAATCTGGAATTTCAAAAATCATTTTCAGTTAGGTCATCAAATTCAATTATTATTTTTATAGGAATAATCTAATATTGTTAATACAGGATTGGATCTGAAATTTTTGATTCAACATTTTTACTCCAGTATCAAAAAATATATATGTACTTTTCAAATTTCAGTTGCAGATAGAACAATTAATATTAAATTCAATTCTTTTTTGTACATAAAGTTAATACAGATAGAATAAACTTGAAGGTAAAGATAGTCAGTTCAATTAATTGCACCCTGGCTAATTGATTTTGTTCTGCTCAAATTCTGGCTCAATTAATTGTGCTGACTAAATTTTCATTCAATTTAATTGCACTAGCAAAATTCCAGTTCAATTAAACTTTAACTCAATTTAATTATATCAAACATTATCATAATTTTTAAAATTTTTATTCTCTCTCTTTCTCTCTCTCTCTCAAAATAAAAAACAAATACCTTTCCCTAAAAAAAAAACACTTTCTCTCTAAAAAAGAAATCAAAATTTTCAATTCGTTATGAAAATATTATAATAAAAAATGATTTTTTATTATATAAATCAATTTGAAACCAAATATAAAACCAATTACCTTTAAATATCAAAAAATAATTATTCAATAAATTTTATAATCACACCAACCAATCAGAATTACATCAGAATTTAGCTTTTGCACTAACATTTAGCCATTGCACCTAATTGCACCAGAGTTAATTCCTGGATTCAATTGATTAAATTAAATTTGATTAAATTCCTGGCTCAATTTGTATTGTGCCTCTCATCCCTACTTGGAAGATTATTATTTTGTTTATATCTGATGGTACAAATCTATCAAGAATCATCTTTATTTCAATATAAATAATGATAAGAAAACATGTAGTATTGAATTATGGGATACAGAATTTTATCTGAAAAGTTAGGATTACATTATTCCAGTTATCATATTCTTGAAATATTTGTACTGGTTAAATATAAAATTTCTAATTGAAAAAATGCCAAAGAGTATTTGGTGATAAATCTGATTAGTAGAAAATTCCATTTGTAATAATTAATTTATACCAAATTCAGCAAATTTTACTTATTTTAATCAAAAATTTTTATTATAATAAATATAAAAGTTTGAATTTAAGTCAAATTTGTACATTTCCAAAATACATTTTAATATAAATTTGAACTATCAAATTTAAAGAGAAAGTTATTGAAAGTTGAAATGGAATACTTACAAAATATATATTTCAACAAGAAATAAGCATTTAAAAAATTGACAATTCTAATTAATGGAAAATTGTGTTCAATTTGATATTTCAATATCTTGATCAATTTTTGATAATAACTAATTTTGTCTTAATCTTGATCAAATTTTTTAGCAGATGGCTGAATATTGACTGAGAAGATGGAAAGTGTAATTTGTGCCAATTTCATTTTTTAAATAAAGGAAAAAATAATAAATAGTCATTGCAAAAGATAGATTGTGATTGTGAAATGTAGTTTCAATTGATTCAGATGTCTTTAATCCATTTATATGGTGTTTTTCAACAAAATCAAAATAAGAGAATTTGATATAGTATATATCTTTTGTTTATGTAAACACATGGATAATCTTATATCAAAAAAGGTAAACTGGCCTCTTCAATGTTAAAATGAAAAAGAAGAAAGCATTGTATATTGACAAAACCATATTTCATATACAATAAAAGATCAGATAAAATTCATCAAAAAACAATCAAGTTCTTAAATGATAAATTTGACATAATTGTTATTCTTCCTTTTGGAATTTCAAATATGATGAACAAAAAAAATGAAAGATAATAAGGAAAACAGATGCTTTGTTGGTCTCATTAAAAAATTTTGATAACAATTGATTTCAAAAGCAGAAGAAGATCAGAAACATACAAATAAAAACAGATAGAGATGTCAATGGTGCCTGAGGGATATTCCTTCGGGCTTTTACTTAATGGAACCATGATCTTATCATAAGACATCATAATACGGGAAATAGTGACTTTACTTAGTAATACTTTGTATTGATTGTTATTTGATGTATTACCATCTGGAGGTAACTAATTAATGTATTCAAATACTTAATATGTATAAGGCTAAGGTTTAAATTGCCAAATTTTAATAAATCATTTTCTAATTTTGTTTTGTTTACCTGCTTGCAAATTTTTGTACAAGTAAGCATTTTAATAAAAACAACAAAAATCAAAAGATTTATTACATAGTCCGAAAAGGGAAGGATATTAAGCCACGCGACGTGTAGATAAAGTATCAGTACATGTGTTAAATTAAATTAATGCCATAAAATTTCTATCAAATCTATCAAATCTATCTTTTCTTTATATGATATTATTACATAACATTCATATATTATTATAAACTTTATATTTTATATATGTGCGTGTGAGTTTAAGTGTGAGTGTGTGAAAATAAAAATAATAAAAAGATGAGGACATTATTAAAACATACATAAAGTACATAAAGTATTATACTAGATTAGTAGATATGGCTTAGAAAAAGCCAAGTTTACTTTTCATGAAGTCGCATGATTTCAATGTGATGCGTAAATTTGAGTGGTTACCAAAAATGAATCATTTTTACAATTAATTTATAGACATGAAAATGGCGAGAATAAAGGAAGAAATAATTGATATTTATTTTAATATTAAATTATCAAAGATATCCCCAAAAGTAATAGTTAATTATTGTTTTTTTTTTTTTTTTATTATATTTCTTAAAATATCACATCAATTAAAAAAATCATCTATTTTCCATTTCCAAGAGATTCAATAAAATTCTAACAAATAATATTCCAACAATACATCTTATCATCGTTCCATTCATATATAAAATCCTTCTATTTAAAATTCTCTTGTTATTTCTTCTATAATCATTATTGTTATTATTATCAATCATATTCCCATTATCTTTATTATCATTATAATTGTAATTATTAGAATTATTATTGTCCTTAAAATATCCAAATCGATGTTGACAATAATTTATTAAATGTAAACTGGAATAGTAAAGAGTAAAATGAAACGCGTATAAATTTTGACGATTATAATAATAATTGTTATTATTATTATTATTATTATTGTGTGTATTAGGTGATGAAAGTGAATAAAGAACTTGAGAAGTTTTTATTGTTCTTGTTTTTTTTTGTGATTTTTTTTGTGATTTTATTGTTGATTTCGTTTCGGTGTTGAAATTATTATTATTATTATAGTTATTATTATTATTATTATTATTATATTTATTATTATAGTTTTTGTTGGATGAAGTAAGTTTGAAATTTCGATCATATCCTAAACTTTCGACGGAATGATCTACTGGCGGTGTTCCTAACGTTTTAACTTCTTTCACTAATGCCGCTAGAATATTAGATTTATGAATAAATACATAATTTAATATATAATGAATAAATAATAAATAAAGAGCACATAGATATTTAATATATTACCTTTTAATTTTTCAATAATTATCGCTGATTGTTGATCACAATTCTGACAAGGATCATTTGATGGTAAAGAAAATTTTTGATTACATTTATTTGGATTTGTGGATTTTGAAGTAATAAAGAGGCCCAAGAATCCAGAATTAATTGAGAATAGGTTTAATTTGTTTAATTTGTCAGTTCGATTTTTTTTGTTGGACTTAAAAAAGAATGATAAATGAACAGAATGAATAAAGTATAAATTAACAAAAATAAAAATAAATACCAAAAAAAAAATTTTTTTTAATATATATTTACTGCTATATAAAGTAGACCATCAATTAAAATCAAAGATCCAGAAACCAAACACATTGTAGTAGCCATAATTAGTGTTGAAAGGACAGGCATTATGGATAAGTGATTTTTTTCTTAAAAAAAAAAAAATTGTGCACCAAAAGATTTTTTAAGGTATTTATATATCTTTTTTATTAATTTATAGTCATTTGATCTTTAATTCCCACCATTAATTTAATAAACCAGATTTTGAAAAAAAATGATGTATTCATGATCAAATGAACGTAAAAGACATATATGAAATAATTAATCCTATATACACATTTAAAATAATAGAGAGGAACAATATAGAAGAATGCATTACGAGAAATGCTTCTCGTTATCTTGCAGCGTATTTCTTTTACCATTCTTATTTCTTTACCATATTTTTCATATATCGATTTTCCTATCGCATTTTAACGCACGTTAACTAATACAAATATATATAATGATAAATTGTATATACATTTATATTTTTATGAAAACAGAAATAATTGACATATTTTAATCATGCATCGAGAAATTGAGAAATTGAAACATATGAAAGAGAAATGTACATCGAATATCTGATTTACAATATACTGTATAATATAACAACAATGAATAATGAATATGAAAAAGGAATTCTTTTTATTAGTTTTCAAATGTAAATTATAAAATAAAATATAAGATTATCAAAAAAGGTCACTGTGATCACTCCTTTTTATTATACAACATAGGATTATTAACGATATTGAATAATTTATTTCTATTTCTAAAGTTTTTTTTTTTACCTTGCGCAAAGATTATTTATGTTCTTGAAATTAAAGCTTTTCTTTGTTTAAATCTTTGTCATTTATTTTGCTGACAAATTAGATGAAAGAACATACATATTTTTATCAGATAACTTTTTATTCTTTATTTTATCGACATTGTTAAATCACACCAACACCAGTGATTATTATCCAATAAAAATAAAAACATGTACTGACGCAAAAGTTTCATTTTTGATAGACTTATGGTTATTTTTTCAAGATACGTGTGAAAAAAGTCAAAAGATAACTATTTTGTCACATGACATATGGGCTGATTTGTTTCACTTCGATTATATCACCTGCACATTCAATTTTGTCATCTGGAACTGATCATCAACTCAACCAATAAAATTATAATTATTGAATAAATAATATATGTGACGTTTTATTATTATTTTCAATGACTACCACATGTACTTTTCCTTGCCTACTTTGTTTTAAAATTTACAATACAAAGAAAAAAATTCAGAGCCACAAATGAAAAAAATTACAAAAACAATAAATTTGTTTTACACTGTCATATACTTGGTAAATCTTTGGAAAAAACCTTATCCTTTTATAGAGATGTGATGATAATTTGTTTAAAAAATAGTCTAGGATTTAATAGACACTCAATTGGAAAAAAATATATTAGTAATTGATGTATTTCTAGGGAGTGTATTTTTATCTTTGTTTGAAAATGAGAATAGTTTCAAATATATATCAAGCTTATGAAAATATCAATATATTTTGGAAGATGCAGTAGGTGAAAAAATATTAAAAAGTATATTAAAATATAATCAAATTATATTTTGTAAAAATAAGAATACTTCAACAAAAGGTTACATTTTACTTGAAGACAATGATAGATAATATAAATTAACTTTTATTTAGAAACAAAAGGAATGGAAAGAAAATAATAAACTTTTTTTAACTGAAATTTTATCAATTAATTTTATTACTAATTCTAGCAGATTTATAAATAAGTAAGTATGATTATATTGATTATATATAGTGTATTTAAATATTTTGAAATGTTGACTAATTAATTAATTTAATTATTAATAGTGAAGAAAATCAAATATCATCGTCTATTCAAGAATTATTATCAAATGGTGATCATGCTTTACATATAATTAATAAATATAATTTTTATAATGTATCATCTATTCTTTCTCAATCAAATAGAAATAATAATAAAACTTTTACTAAATCACATTATAGATATATTTTGTCCCATCTCCAACTTAAAAATATTTCTTCAAACAATAAATAATTTAAACAAATATTATATAAATAATAAATGTATTTAATAAAATACAATTATATATCACATTTAAAAATTTAATAAAAAAAAAGTAAATAAAATTGTTTAATTATTATTATTATTTTATATTATTTATTAAATTGTATTAATATTATTAATATTATATTATTCGCATATATTAATATTTTTACATATAATTTTATTTGGAATATTATTAATTAAGTAAAATATTTGTTAATTTTCATAAACTAATATATTATAAATAACTGTTCTGTTTTTTTTATCTTCACCTATTGTTGTTTCTCCAATAAATAATTATACCTAATATATAATAACAATATTAGTAATTACAATATTTAATAAAATAAAAATTAAAAAAAAAAAATACTTGACAATGATTTTTTTTTCAATGCTACTTGTTAAAAATAATCTAAATAATAAGTTTTTTTCTTTTAATCAATATATGAAAAAAGATATATGTATTGTTAATATATGCATATATAATATAATATCTTCTGTTCTATATTTTTCAAAAATTTCTGTTGTAATATTTATTTGTTCTCTTAAAGGTTGACTAAATATTTTTATTCGATTTTTTTATTATTTTCAAATATTAATATTTCTTTTTTTGTATAATTTAACTTTCTTATAAATTTATATAATTGATAACATTCTTTTCATAATTTTTCAATTATTACTTCATGTATTTCAGATATAAATTTACTGACAGAAAAATATTATAACATTTTTTTTATCTGGTTCCATAAGTGATATTTAACTCCAATTACTTTGAGATGAATTATTATAATAAAATTCAAAATAAACATTAAGTTCACTTATTTTTTTTCAATTTTTTCTTTAATATTTCATTTAAAATCATTTTTTCTAAATAAATCTTAAATAAAAATTTCATTAATATATCAAATATACATAATAAAATATAAAGTTTATCAAGTATCACTGGTCGAAAATTGATAAAACATACACATATCGGGTACCCGATATGTGCATGGTGTGTCCCTAATATCAGACATATATCGGGTACCCGATAGGTGTAGAAAATATTTTATATATATATCGGGTACCTGATAAGTGTAAAAAAATATTTTTTACACTTATCGAGTATCCGATATATGCCCGATATTAGGGACACACCATACATATATCGGGTACCCGATATGTGTATGTTTTATCAATTTTCGACTAGTATATATAATTGAATAAATTAATTGTAAAAAATATTGAAGATTTTTTAGTTTCTAATTAATATATTTAAATTATTATATTATTAAATTATTTAACTTTTTTTATTTCCAATAGGTAATTATGATAGATTCATATTATAACATGATTTAATATTACATTTATAAAATAAACAGAAATAGTTTAAGTTTAGAGTATTTAAACCTATAATAATATATGAAAATTTTCAATCTCCAGAAAAGAAGAATTCAATTAGCCAATAATTACTATCTGTTTTAAATTTGTTAATTGTGATACAAATATTTTACCAATTTTATCTAAAATATCATATTTTTTTTTTCACATATAAATATAAACTAAAATAAAAATTAATTTATTATTATATTAAATGTTAAAATTAATTCAATATAAATAAAAAATACTTATATTATTTACTGAATTTAAGTATTTCTTTCTCTTCATTCAATAAATAAAAAGTAATTATTACATGATTTTGTTTTCTTTTTACATTTTTTCTATTTTCTTCAAGTTTAATATAAAGAGTATTTCCAGAGATTATTACTAAATTGTTTTTCCAAATTAATATTAATATTTTAAGTAAAATTCTTAAAGAATGAAAAATATCATTTCTTATTTCATTATTAGATATCAAAATATCATTAATAATTTTATTATTGTTATTATCAAAATTAAATTAATTAATATTCTAATCTATATTAAAAATTTTTATAGGTATTTGAATATTTATAAACTTATTTATTTCATTTCTACAATTAGTAACTAAATATTCACAAAAAGACTAGGTATAACAGTTATTAAATGTCTATAACTATCTTAATCCAAAAGTGCTTTATCATATATTCTTACTATAGTATCTAATCTTGTTTGAATAATTTCTGAATTCAAATTTTTAAATTTAATTTAACTTGATTTTCTTTATAATCAATCTCAATATAACATATATATATAATAGATTGTTCTGATAAATCTGTTAATTTGTATTTTACAATTAATTTATCAACATTTTTTTTTATATCTTTTTCAAAACTTTTAAGTTTCTTGTGTTGTTGTGAATGTGAAGTAATATCTTTAAATGGTTTAATTTGTTTATTAACTTTTGTTGTAATAATAGGACTTAAATTTATTTTAATACGAATAATATGTAAAAGTTCAATATCAAAATCAAAAATTTGGGATCTAGAAAATTTAGAGTTTTTTCAATTAATTTTTTAATTATAATAAAATAAATAAAATTAATTTATATAATTTATTAATTACATGTCAAAATTTTGAATAAATAAATAAAATTAATATAAAATTAATTATATATTTAAAATAAAAATTAAATTACATATTTGTTTAAATGAATTAATCATATATTAGAGTTAAAATTATAAAATTAATAATATAATAATAAATTAAATCTATATAATTATATAAATTAAAAATAAAAAATCATATTAATATAAATAATTTAATAATAAAAGTTAATTTTATTAATATTAATTAATAAAAACATAATTATATAATTAAATTAACTATATCTTTAAAAATATATTAATGACTGTTGTAGTTGATTTTATATTATTAACACTTTATTCAGTACATCTTTCCTTCCAAACAATAGTGTAATTTACTTTTGAATTAGATTCATATTTTGTTTCACATTTAACTTTTCTTTTAGTAACTTCTGTTTCAATTATATAATTGAATTAATTTTGATAAGTTCCTAGGGCAATAACATTATAATATGATTATATATTCATCTTTTTGATTTATATTGAGCTTCAATTCTTGAACTTTTTGAATAATCATATATAAAAATATGACAAGAATTTATTAATAAAAGAATTTTTAGAGTATTTTAAAATAGAATAAAATAAATAAAATAAATAAAATAATATATTTAAACAAACACTTTCTAAAACTTGATTTTCTATATTTTGACTTTCTACACTCTCATTACCTCTTTATTTGAACTTTTACCATTAGAATATTGATTTTCAACTAGTTTTTATGTTTTACAAACAAAAAATATATTTATTTATTATTTTTTTTATAGTTTTAATACAAATGAGAAATAGCTTTACATACCAATTTCACAGATGATTTCACTAAAACGGATTTTCAACAGATTCCCAAGACACAATTTCAATGCAAAAACTTTTCAGTAATTGGTTTATACATTTTAATACCACATATTTGTCAAAAAATAACTCAAAAATGAAGCCTTTGCTGTACTGACACAAGATGTTCAGGTGATCGAAATTAATTCACGTGTTATAAATATTCGATGACAAATATTATGTGACAAATATGCTTTTCGTATGTAAAAAATTCTAGGATATCTAATAAAAATTGATATTCGAAGGGTGTGACACACGGTGATAAATACACTACCCTTGAAAAACCCTAACCCCTGCGATTTAAAGTTTTCGTTTATAATATAAATATAATTCATGATATAATTTATAATACTTAATTATCATAAAATTTAAATTCTACTTATATTACATAATTGATAACATCATTGGTTAGAAATTTTGGGCTTTGGGATTTTTGGGATTATTGGTATTTCATGAAGGTTGCACTGCCACTGTTTATTCGCTGAATTTATTGACTCTAATTTTTTTTTTTACATTTTTCAATGTCATTTCGAATAATAAACGTATAATTCTTTACGTAACACCCTAGCATCTTTATTATTATATGACCATTTTCATTACATTTTTTGAAACTATTTTGTTTATTATCCTTAATTATAAAATGTTTACACCATATAAAATATATAATATATAATGTTACAGTCCTCTGGTGCGACGGTGCGGTGAGTCACAATATCATTGTATTGTTACATTTTTACATTTTTTTGACGTTTAACGTCCCTTCTATAAATAATTAACTATAAATAGAAAAAGAAAAATTCGCAAATAAGGATTATTTATCCTTACTGTTTCACTATTTTTGTTTTTAACGCCCGCCTGACGCAATTAGATAATTAAATTTATATTTTTAAAAGAATTAAACCTTACTTTTAAAAAACTTATTTTGTTAATAAACACACCCGCCGCAATTAGATAATTAGATTAATATTTTAAAATTTAAACCTTACCTTTAAAAAACTTATTTTATTAATAAACTTTATTAAAATAATTAAAGGAAACTTTTTCATAATCTCGAACATTATATTATAAATTTAAGGAAAATTATTTAGTAGATATATCAAAAAAAAAAAGAATTCGAAAGAAAAAAATAATAAAAAGAAATGGGACAAAAATGTTGTCATCCATCCCAACCTCCTCTATCTCCTACGTCTCCTACATCATCAAAGATTCCTATTTCCGATAGTAATGTTCCTATTTTTTCCAATAGTCATATTTCCAATAATCATATTCTCAATAATCATATTCCCAATAATCATATTCCTAATAATCATATTCCCAATAGTCATATTCCCAATAGTAGTTTACCTACCCTAATACCTTTTGCAGCTCAAGTTTCTTCAACTCCCGTAATTTTGAATTCTACTACTAAATGTCCCGAATGCCATAAAAAAATTTCTAATTCATATTGGAATTGGTGTCAAAATTGTTGTTCACGTCATTTTAAAAAGAATTTTAGAAATTGGACTTCAGGAAATTCCAATTTAGATAAATTAATTCAAGAATTCCAATTACAAGCTACTTATGGTGAACAAGTAATTGAATGGATAGATTATAATAAATTGAAAAATATTAAATATATCTCTAATGGAGGATTTGGAGAAGTGTTATATGCGGAATGGGAAGATGGTCAAATTTATAATTGGGATCCGGAGAAAAATGAATGGAAACGACGTGGAAGTCATCCGGTAGCATTAAAGAAATTAAAAGGAAGTGAAAAACATATCGAAGATTTTTTGAATGAGGTAAAATATTATTAATATTATTAATTTATTTTTTTATTTAATTTTAATTATTATTTAATTTTAATAATATATTGGTTAATAATATTATTATTATTTATATTCTCATATAATTTAATTTATAAATTATTTAATCAGGTCAGAACTCTTCATTCAATAACTCAATTAAAACTTTCATTTGAAGTAACTCATTGTTTTGGTATATCAAAAGATCCGGTGACTAATGAATTTATTATGATCATATCATATGCTGAGAATGGAAGTTTACATAATTACCTTCAACAAAGACCAAATCTCAATTGGTCTACTCGTATTAATTATTTATTGAAAATTTCTCAAGGATTGGATATTATACATAGTGCAGGATTAATTCATAAAGATTTTCATAGTGGAAATATATTAATGGGTAAACGATATCCTATGGTTAGTGATTTTGGATTATGTCGTCAGGATAATAATGAAAATAACGAAAATATTATCAATGATGATATTAAGGATAATATAACTAATTCAACTATTTCGAATAATGACGAAAAAGGAGAAGAAAGAAGTCATCAAAACAGTTTCTTTGGAGTAATTCCTTATACTGCACCAGAAGTTCTTAAAGGTCATCCATACACTCCCGCCGCGGATATTTATAGTTTTGGAATGATTATGTATGAATTACTTACTGGTTATCAACCATTTCATGATACTGCACATGATCTCGAATTAATTACTCGAATAACATCATCATCATCGGATAAAATCAATCAAACTTCTAATAATTCTTCTAATGTTGATTTTAATCGACCTAATTTATTTAATATTCAACATCCAAAATGTTGGATTGAATTAATGCGACGTTGTTGGGATGATAATCCTACACAACGACCAACCACAATTGAACTTAAGGAAACATTAGAAAAATGGTATGCATTAGTAGAAACATGTTCTGTGGGAGGTAGAATGGATTTAAGCATATTAAAAAATTTTAGGGATGCAGATAATCTTAGAGATAATGGTTACAATAATAATAATAATAATAATAACAATAATAATAATAATAATAATAATAATAATAATAATAATAATAATAATAATAATAATAATAATAATAATAATAATAAACATTCCGAAAATCACCCAGAAGCGTTTTATTATAGCAGAAAAATACCAACAATAAAATTAGTTCAAAAGTTGGAAAATAAAATGGGAATTAATCAAGCTCACGGTAAGAATAATTATAATTAAACCTGTGTAAATTTTTTTTTTTTTTTTTTTTAATAAAAAATATTTTATGATCTTATTTTATTATTCAATAATTATATTTATATAAAAGATTACATAAACTTTCAATATCTACAAAAAGATACAAAAAAAAATTCTTGGGATAATAGGAATAATAATAGAAAATCAAACATTAAATTGACGATCGATACAAGTTTTAAACGTATTAATAGCAATAATAATGATAATAGTAATAATAATTATAATAGCAATATTAATAGTGATAATAATGATATTAATAATTCTAGTAGTAATAGTAATTATAGCAATAATAATAGCGATTATAGCAATTATAGCAATAATAGTAATAATAATAGCGATAATATTACTTTAAGAAGTAGCGATACTCCCTATGTCAGCAACAGTATCGACAATATCAACAATAATAATATCAAAAATAACAATAACAATAAAAACAATAACGAAGTAAGAAGTATTAATGACATTATTTCAGATACAGACACTTTGAGCTCTATTAGTAATGACAGTCGGAAAAAAAATGATAGAACAAGTTTTCTCAGTAATATTTTGGTAATGTTAAGGGAAGAAAACGAAAATTCTGAGAATCACGAAAATATTGAGAATCAAGAAAATGCTAAGAATCAAGATAATACTAATTCTAATGACGACGATTATGATAAAAATTTAGGGAATGAAATTTTAAAAAAAGGTTCGGATTTATTTAATTTTCAAGAATACAAATCAACACATGAAAATGACAAAAATTCATCACCATCAACACCAGATAATAACACCTATAACGGAAATTCTAAAATTTTTAGAAATTCTGATAGTAATATAAATAGAGTAATTGAATCTTCACCTACATTATCTACATTATCAGTACCTTGTTTAACAAGGAATAATACTAATTATTACAATTTGGAAAGAAGTAATTCAATTAATCCTGATAATTTAATTTATGGTAATATGAGACATAGTAAAACTATTAATTATGGAAACAATTCACCGAATTTAAATAATAGAAGTTATTCTAGAAATGGTTACGCTAAGAATAATAAAAATAATAATAATAATAATAAAAATAATAATAATTATAATTATAAGAGAGAATATTCGAGAATTAATGATAATAGAGAATATTCGAGAATTAATTATAATAGAGAATATTCGAGAATTAATGATAATAGAGGATATACTTTGGATCATATAAATAACGAAATTACAAGTGACGATAATATTATACATAATAATAGTAATAATGAGAATAGTAGTGGTAACATAAGTTATGTAAAAAGTAGTAGGGAAGGTATGGCGAGAAATGCAAGTTTAGCTTATAGTGAATTATCAACACATAATTATAATCGTAAGAAAAGTGGGAAAGATAAAAGACAATAACATATTAAAAGAATTATATAGAATTATTTATTTATTTATTTTTATTTTATTTTATTTTATTTTATTTTATTTTTTTACATTCATTTAAAATATCATTATTGTACATTTCATTATAAAATTTAAATACACGATTATATCATTATTTTTGTAATATAGCTAAAAGACACCTTATTTAAATATAAATAAAAGAAATTAAAAATTATAAATATAAATATTTTAATCATTCATTTAAAACTTAAAATATTTATTCCATTTTTGGCATTTCGATTCTTAAACTTATAATAACAGATAGTTTCTTTTACAATAAATTTAAATTTGAATTAACGGGTTTTGAAAGATTCTTGAAATTAAGAAGTTTACTGGTGTAAATTGCTGATGGATGTATTTCATATGAAGTTGAATTATTTATTTCATTTTACTGGATTTATTAATTCAATTTTCTCACATTCTTCAATTTGTTTGTTCATTTCTGATTCCTTATCATAAATCGATTTTTTTTTTTGAAAAACCTCGGGAGAATGAATACAAAATTTCTTACAAGTCTAATATTTTGCAACACATAAAAAAAAAACGGTGCTTCATCATTGCGTTTCTTAGTTTATATTTCTAAGCATAACTAATTTACTTTTTTCCTTACAAACAACCATATCAATCACGTGATAATACACAGCGAAATTTTTTAGTTCGATTTACTAATTAATTATTTAAATCATATAAATTATATTGTTTAAATCATATAAATTATATTGTTTAAATTAATTTTATTACTTTGAATTTTATTTTTTAATTATTTACAATAGATATTATGGATATTACAATTTCAATAATAGATTTTAACACTACCATTCTCTGCCGGTCATGTAATATCCTCCATTTTCACCATAACTTTGGAAATCGGACAAGTGAAAATAAAAATCCGAATGTTATCATTCAGTTAAAGGTTAAATGTTTCAACTCCTTCGGAATTTTAGTCATAAAACATATTACTAAAGGTGGCTTTGATGGTTTGAATAAAGGACTTGAGATATTTATCATAATCAATGGAGGGTTATTGGAAAGTTGCATTAAAAGTCCTTAAATAATTCGAAATATAACAGATGAATTTTTAAATGAGGGAATATTTATTTATTTATTATTTGAATTTAATTTTTTCATACTCACATTTTATATTTATTAGTTCAAAAATTTTCAAATGCTTTGAAAATAATAATATAATAACGTGCTATGGTATCACACAAGATCCAGAAGATAACAATAGAAATTATTTGAATGCTAAAGTGTCATAATGATAATTTATATCACATTTCAAATGGATTAAATCATATGCATAACGAAGCTGACCTTCAAGAAATATTTTTTTTGTTATCAAACCAGCTGATGCAACTGGCATGAGTTCTTCCATGTGTAATAAAGTATCAGACATATATATTGATTTTCAATTCACAACACTTCATATGATAATGATTCTAATTATTAATTGATTTTATGAAGAGATGTTGGGATGCAGATCCAAATTAAAGGCTAACAGCTAAAGTGTTGCTTGACTGTCGTTATAATTTCTCTATAATTATAAATCGGAAATTACAAAAAAGAATTGAAGAATGTTTAAAATTAAGAATTAACAAATCCAGAAAATATGTCAAGAAATAAACGCATATAAATACCAAAAAGTGAAAAGTTATTTCGAACAAGTATTAAATATTTATATCTTAATGAAAAAATACTTTCTACAATTTAAATATATATTTTTTATATTTAAATTTCAATATAATTTTGTCATTAGATTTATATTTTATACTTTTTAAATTTCTTTAAATTATAATTATATTTTTAATTATATTTTTTTTTACAAGATAATTGTATATTAAATAATTAAATAAATATTTAAATAAATGTAAATAAATAATATGTATAATATATATATATAATATATATATGTGTGTATATTTTTTTTAATATTTTCTTTCCCGATTATAAATAATTCACTAATCGTTACTTGTAATCTCGTGATTAATATTCTTCCTGAGGAAACTTTGAAGAATCCGAAATTTGGGATTATACAATTCAATGGGGAATCGCTCAAAATACAAATTTGCCGCATTTTCTTATTCTAAAAAAAATATTTTAATTGATAGACTGACATTTTAAATATTCCATGGTTCCAAACAAATCTATTACCTCGTAAATTGTTTACCCATTTTACCCCTCAACTTTTAAATCATAATTCTCAAATCAAATTAATTATTACCAAAGAGCAATTTGGACAAAGAATTTTTGGAATTTATGTATAAAAGGTAATGCTAAAGCTCACAGGTGGTGATTGTCACCGCCAGGCAAAATTACATAATTCCCTGATCAACCCTAACCCTAACTTTGCCCACGTAAATTTAATTTTGCCCAGTGGTGACAATCATTACCGGTGAGCTTTAAAAACAAATATTGTAATTATAAAAGTTAAAAAAGATATGAGGTTACAATCTTATTGGTTGAAATTCTAATTTACAAATATCAATATTTTGGAAACTACGACAGTTTTATTTTTTTTTCTTTATTAAAAAAATGGAAATATCAAAAATAGTTGTGTAAAATATACAAGTATGGATATTGTTTCATATTAACAAAATTGAAGATTATGAAAAACAAATTAGAAAATAGGTGAATTTTCAATACGTGATTATGAAGTTTATAACATGACCGTGCCTTTTGAATTGTATCTTTTAATTATGTAACATTAATACTAAATAATTGATTATTATTTCTTTATTTTTATTTTTGATTATTTCCCCACTCCATAATAATCCATAAATAATATAATACATAAATGAATGATATTGAAGGAAATGAAATAAAATGAGAACCAGCATATAAATTATCACAGATAATTTAAACCTTCAAGTACTGTAAATCGATTTTCTGGAAGAGGAAATCCCCATATATTAAAAAATGAATATATTTGACAAGCTACTTTGGTATTACTGAATTTTTATAAAAGAGCGTAATCTTTGAAATCTCATTCTTCTTGAATTAGCACGGTTAGCATTATCAGCAAAGCAATGAAGATGAAAGGAATCCTAATCCTTTTTGAAAATAATAGAAAAGCATGTAAAAAAACATTAAAAAAACATTATTTACTGATATTATTAGTAATATTTAGTTCATATATATACGATTAATCATTTTTCGATATTTAAAATATGCATTTACAGTATATTCATCTACAGAAATAATTTCCATTTTATTATGTTTTGAGAAAATGAAGAATATTTTTTGCTCAATTATATATTAGATCGAAAAAATCACGTTAAAAGAGTATTGTTGGAATTTTATCATTTTATTATAATTGACTAATATATTAACACTTAATTTTTATTAAAATTTCACAAAGAACATTTTTTTGTTATAATGACAATGATGATGTGTTTAATTATTATTACGTATAATTAATCTATATATTTCACCTTTTTTTCAAAAAAAAAAAAAACAAATTATATATAAAAATTTACATATGTGTAATTTTTAAGATAGAAAAATTATTATTAAATCAGTGAATATCTGAAATAAATAAATTAATTTCAAATCTATTTTCGAAAATTTATTTCAAATTACATTATTAATATTAGTAAAATTAGTATTTTTAGATCATTAGTTTTATTATTAGTATTAATATTATTGTTATTGGTATTAATATTATTGTTATTGGTATTATTACCATTATAACCATTTTACCATAACCTTTATTTATCAAAATCTTCTTCTTCTTCTTCGTCACGTTCCAATAATCTTACTTTTTCTGAATATGAATTTGGTAATGATGGTGACGATGAATATAATTTTACATAAGGTAACAAATGAGCAATCCATAATATTTGAGGATCTCTTTGAAGCATCTTTGATCGATCATGAATAACTAATACACACATTAAATAACTTCCATAAGATGCTGTTAAATGCCTAAAAATAAATAAATGAATAAATAAAATTTATTAATTAAAAAAAAAAAATTAAATAATAAATAAATCAAATAAATAAATAATTAATTAATTACTTACCACCAAGCATGTAATTGGGGATTTGGCATATTATATGGTAATGAATTCATATTTGAACAAAAATGGAAATCCACGTGCCATCCAACGTATCCAATTAAAAATACTATACTACCTAATATCAAAAGCATTTGTGAACTTTTTTCAATATTTGCTATAATAATTGCATGAAAATAAACAATGATACACATTATAAAAAATGATCCTATAAAAAAAATAATATGTTATTATTATTATTATTATTATTATTATTATTATTATTATTATTATTATTATTTAAAGTATTAATATTACCTTGAAACACATAAAATTCCAAAGATTGCATTATTTTATCTTGATATATTCCCGATATAATCATGGTTAATGTTATAATGATACCCCAAAGAATTAAAGTTATCGGAAACCAAATTCCGAATTTTTTTTCTTTTTTATTTTCTATAACTGAATAACATAAGACGAGTACACAAAATAACATTGGTACTTCATCAAGTAATTGTAATGAAAATAATAAAGTTCCATGAAATAATATTGAACCTATGCCTACAATAATTATTCTGAATGAAAAAAATTTGAATGTTGGTAATTAATATATTATAAATAATTATAAGCAATTAAAAGTAATTATAATTAATTATAAATAATTATAAGTAATTGTAATTAATAATAATTAATTTAAGTAATTATAAGTAATTAAGTAATTATAATGTTATATAAAAGAATAAATAATATTACTCACGTCGAAAAGCATATAAGAAACCTACTATCAAATCCTCGAGCATGCATAAAAACTCCAAATAAACCAGCACAAATCATAAAAAATGACGAGATCGTATTAAAAAATTCGGCAATATAAAAGGTTATATCATAGTTATTTTCACACCAGTCTTTTTTTATTGAGTTAAAAAGTTAGAAGTTGGAAATTGAATAAAATTGAATGTAATTGAATGTGTGAATCGAATGAAATGATACTTACCAACTACGTATTAAATATTTTATAAAATGAAAATTAAAATAATTAATAAAAATAATTAAAAAATAAATAAAAATAATTAATAAAAAAAATAATTCATTATCTAAATAATTTAAACATAAAATAATTTACCTGTGGCAGTAGGTTTACCCCAGAAACCTAGACTGTCATCAATATTAATAGTAGAATTCATTATTGTTTATAATTTTTTGTTGTTTCGTTCTATTTGTCTTCTTTTTTTTTTTTGTTTTTTATAATTAATTTTTTTTTTCTTGGATTTTTTTTATAATTTATAATTTTTTTTATAATTTCATTTTTTTTTTAATGTATTGATTTCTATTATTATATTTTTATTAATTAATTTCTATTTCACTATATTGTATATGATTGTACGAGTCAAGTTTGTATATCAGTGAGTGCAGTTGTACGCAGTGTATGTTTGGAAGATCCCTAAAAAAATCATTTGTTTTATTTGTAAATAAATTAGTGAAAGAAAATTTTAATTTAATAAAATAATTAAAAATACACAATATTCCCGATCGTTTAAATTCAGTTGGTTTATTTATTAAAAAAAACAAATACATTACCAAAATCAATACTATGTTAATTGGATTATTTAATTCAATTAATCAAACAATTTTATTATTTTTTTTTCGAAATTCCCGCTTTTGATGGTTTATATAAATAATGTTTTATTTATACTATAATTATGCTATAATTATACTATAATTATACTATAATTATAATTTTTATTTAAAATAATGTTTTATTTATACTATAATTATAATTTTTATTTTATACTTACCAAATTATCATGTGTGTCTATTTGCATTTACATTTTTATTTTATTATTTTTATGTTTCGATCAAAAAAGAATCTAATATAACTCTTCCGTAATTACTTAATATACAACTTTAATAGATAATGATATTTGTATGAGGTCATATGGTTCATTAAAATTTTAATAAATCACGGGATTCTGGAAATTTTATTAAAAATTTTATATACGTAATTGGTAGGTAAATGGACGGAGAAATAAAACTGTATATAGAATAATGATGGATGGTTAAACTATTTTGATATTTACATTTATAGTTATCCGAATATGGAAAAATAAATATTTTTTTCATAAATAATATTAATTATATCAAAAAATATTTATATTAACAATATAATAAACTAGACCTTTTGTTAAGAAATTCAATTTCATTTTTTAAAAAAGAAATTATACGAATATTAATATTTTTATTATATACTGTAATTTGTATTTTTTTATGTAATTCCCTTTTAAATTATTTAAAAAATCGTCTATACAAATTGCAAATTATACACTTTGAATTATTCTATCAAAGTCATTTGATAATATGGACTTTATCAGGAAATTTTGAGCAAATTTTTACAACCCAATTTGGAGTGGAAAAAGGTGAAAAAAAAGGGAATTGAATTTTTGAATTAGCATTTCAAAGCTTGTGAAAAAATCCAATAGAATTTATTAAATTTATAAAAAAAATTTTCATACATCTGCAATTTTTGTAATTTTTTTTTAATCAAAAATGGTATTGATAAAGAAATTTGTTTTTAATTATGGTAAAATGTCTTAATTAATTCAACGTTTACAAAAATAATAATTTCGAGAATTAATCAGGTAAATTTGATGTATAGTAATCTAACAAGTTTGTTGCTTCTTCGTTATTAAAAATAACATAATAGTCATTAAGATTTTATTTCTTACACCTGATATAAGGATATATTGATTTGAACTAAAAAGGGTTCGATAGATGGTCGTTCAGGTAAAGAAAATATTACTCAAATTATTTTAAACCTTGTTTATTTGTTTGCAGCATGTTAACCTTTATACAAACCAATTGGCTGAATGTGAATTCAATGAATTTGAAATGTTTCTACAAGTATTATCTTAAAAAGGATTTTGAGTTAGGTATCAAAGTTGGAAAATATTCTATTTGTGAAAAACATTATAATCAAATTATTGCAAAGATAATATTTGAATTATTTAAAAGAAGAAACATTATATTATCCCCTGAAAAAAAGTAGCAATATTAATTCTTTAGATAACAATTCACAAATAGAATCATTAACAGCTATTGATATAGGTGTTCAAGTAACAATGAATAATTCTTTATTGCTGAAAATTGATACCTTAAAAAATTCATTAAATACTCTTGTAACTAGCCATTCTAAACATTCACAACTATCAAAGCAAGTAACAATAAATTTTGAGTTGGAAAATGAATGTGAAAATTTTAAAGCACAAATTAATGAGTATAGTAAATTAGAATTCAAGAGTTTGTATTTAAATCAATTTGAAAGAAAAAAGTAAATTAGAAAGAATGACGGGAGTATGGTAATAAAAGAAAACAAATAATGGAAATTGCTTTAATGGAATGAGAATTTCTATACAATGATACTATACATTTAATTACTGATCAAGATCAATTTTCTTTCCAAAACGTATTAGAATATAATCCTTCAAAGTGACTTGAAATATCGTAATCCTGTAGTTGTAAAATTTATTAAACAACTTACAAATAATGAAAATACTTCAGCAATTAGATCATTCAAAAACAATAATTGATATAGATAGTTATATTACAGCTATACAAAATTTATTAATTGAGAAGGATTTTTAATTTTAGCATTTGGTAATAAACAAAAGGGACAAAAAATTATCTAGATCATGAATTCAAGATACATGAATTGATGATTGGATTTTTAATTCACTTATAGAAACCAATATTAACCAATTATTTAATTTAACTAATGATATAAAAGATATTCTTGAGATATAATTAATAAATTATAAATGAAATAATATATAAGTTAATTATAGAAAAATAGAAGATTAATAAATTAGTAGTATCACAATGTGTGATTCTATGGGAAGAATGAAAACAAGAAAAAGAATTAAAAATTAGATCTAATATTTTTCAATGAAATTACTGGTGTTCTCCAAATGAAGCATATATATCAAAAGCATTTGTTAAGTTAAATTGGTAAAAGAATTTTAAATTTTTTTTTTTAAAGTTTTATTAAAAATTAAAAATTAATATTTATAATAATAAATAATTTGAACAAATAAAGTTATAGTACAGATAAACAACTTGTTTTATTATAAAATTTTTATATACAGTCAAACCTGTATATAATTATCAAATATCTATAATTACAGTGTTGATCATAATTCAACTTTCAAGGGATACAATTAACTATTAGCTAAAGATACAATAGTTAAACTAAAATATATTACTGTTAACTAATTTATAAGTCAGGTGACATGTCCATTAGAGTGATTAGTTATAGTGTTAACCGTGATCTAACCTTCAAGAGATATAATTAACTATTAGCTAAAGATACTGTAGCTAAATTAAAATATAATATACTACTAAGTTATACTAAAAAGTATGATGTTTGAAGGATTTAGTATTGTGGATTTGTTCAAAAAAGGCAAGGCTATGAGATTTTTATAAGGGTTTGACTAAACTATTCACAAAGAATATAACTAAACTAAACTAAACTAATAATTCCTAACACTAAGTTGAAAATTATAATACAAAAACAATATACCAAGATCACAAAGCAAGGTATAATTAACAAGGGTTTCAGTATTCCAACTAGGAATAATACAGAATTTTACTAAGAAATTATAATGGTATAAATAATAATCAACAAGAGTATTATTTATAAGGCAAATCACAAAATATTTTATTAACAAAAACTGAGAGTTGACTGGAACTGAGAACTGAGCGAAGAGAAATTCAGCCCTTTATATACAGTATATAATTGAAATTATAATAGATTACACTATAGACTACACTAATGCATACACTATTAATTATACTTTCTACTACACTATCTATTACATTATCGATTACGCTATTGAATACACTATTGATTACGCTGTTCATTACACTGTTGATTACACTCAGATCTACAGTTATAATACCTAATAGTTATATCAATTTCTAAATGATTTACGCTAATAGTTTCATATATAATATATACTAATAAAAATATGAAATTAAACTAATAAAATATAGTTATAAATAAGCTAATACATCAGGAAATTTAATTAGGCATAGATTTACAGAAATATCACATGATCTCTAGAAATTTACACCTGAAAAATTTGATTTTTTAACTTTAGCTGAGATTTAAGTGACAGGAAGTGATTTTCTACTAAGATATTTCTAAGATAGATCGAAAGCTCTGGTTTTTGGCTACAAGATGATATGTGTTTCATTACTATAGCATCGATATTCGCGAAGAAATTCACGTTTAAATTCAAACATCCGTGAAAATTTCTGGCAGAATTACGAAAATTTACAGAAAAATTACAGCATAAATTTTCATGGACGTTTGAATTTAAACGTGAATTTCTTCGCAAATATTGATGCTATAGTAATGAAATACATATAATCTTGTAGTCAAAAACCAGAACTTTTGATTTATCTTAGAAATATTTTAGTAGAAAATCGCTCCCTATCACTTAAATCTTGGTCAAAATTAAAAAATCAAATTTTTCAGGTGTAAATTTCTGGAGGTCATGTGATATTTCTGTAAATCTACACCTAATTAAATTTCCTAATGTATAATATATGTTTATAAATATATTTAAAAATAAAGTATTAGCCATTTGGGGTTTATATAAACCCCAAACGGCTTGAATTAGACTACTATAGTCTCAGGTGTGAGGTGCGTTTTGCTTTTTAGGCCACACTCAAGTGACGTGCATTTTGCTTTTTAGGCCACACTCAAATTGACATATATTGGGTACCATATAGGTTACATTTGTATCATTATTTGAGAGCCACTAAGACATATGCCAATGTGGTGTGCATTTTGCTTTTTAGGCTGCACTCGAGTGACGTGCATTTTCCTTTTTAGACCGCACTCGAACTGACATATATCGGGTTGGCAATTCGCGTGTGGTCTGACGACAAAAGTTAGCCACATGGATAAAAAAATATATCTGACAATGCATTCAGTCACGTGTTGTCATTTGTGGGACTACTATATATCATATATGTATTATATTTTGAATATCTAAAGATTTGTATTTTAATATAATAAAAAATGACGCGTGAATGTACTTGTCTATTCGGTCATGATCTCAATGAAATTTGTGAAAATACTTGGATAATACCTGAGGAATGTAATTATCGGAAAGCTAAAAGA